CCGCCAATTTTAAAATGTGCGTGTTGCTGCCTTGCAGGGAGAGATTCAACGCATTTAACTTTTCAAAGATATCACATAAGTATGCTAGTTGAATCAAAAAATCCGTTTCTACAAAGTACTGGGCATACTGGTGTTTTTCTTCTACAAGAAAAATGTACATTTCTTGCCGTAATTGGAACGTACGAGACAAAACATTACCACGAGAGAGCCATCGTGAGTGGCAGTAGTATAACAGAGACGTGTGTTCTGCACCCATATCCTCACACATTTTTTTGAAAAACCTTGCTTTCACCGGCCTAGTTTTTATATAATTTACCACAGTTACCACACGTTCTAAGACCAAATTTAGTGAAGGACTCAGATGCAAGCGCTTCTCTATGAATGATGCAATAGGTCCATACTGAATCCGGAGCTTTGTTTCGAACAAGCGAATGTAATCATCCATAACGGCCAGACATTGAACGACCACCATCAGTGCAAACACCAATGCACTTTGTCCACTCCAAATTGTTTTCAACCACAAATGTATTCAGGATCTCGAACAAGTCTTGCGCCTTTGTACTTGCAGTGATTTTTTTACAAAACAGAAAATCCTCCACAATGGTATTATCATCCAAGAACCTTATGTAACAAATCAAGTGTGCATCTTTACTAGAATCTGTTGCTTCATCCAAAAATCATTTAACTTCCTGGTAAAAAAGCTACGAGGTTTGTCAGCAAAGTTTGAATGATTGGCTTCCAAGTGGCGTTTTAACTTACTTGGAAGCATGCATTCTGGAGCCAAAAGTTTCAGGCACAATACACATTGTGGTCTCTCTTCATCATTGACGTTTGTTGATGTAAAGCCAAAATCCAAATAGCTGTCATCATATTTACGGTATTTTCGTTTCTTCACGACTCTACCACTAGTTTGTGGTGCATCCACTTTATTTTTAGAACCACCTTGTTTATTTAAATTCAAAAACTTTTCCATTTTTACAGCAACTTTTGTACACAAGTAGGTGATACAACCCTGTTTATATTCACACTGATAAACGAAACGATGCGAACAGTATGAAACTACAAATTCAACTAACTAAAATTTAGATAAGTAAAAATTTATAAAATCATGAATGTGTTGCTTGTGTGAGTCTATTTCAAATAGGTAAAGAAATAATAAATAAGACTTACTCACAATCAATTTAATTTAACTATCAGACGACCGGTTTCGCTTTCTACAATATGCAAAGCATCCTCAGGTCTCGTTACAAAGTTAAACAAATGATGCCGGTACTCTATTAATAGATGGATGGTAGAACATGGTTGAAACTACTTTATATTGTTGAATGGAGAACTCAATTCTATCACTGCAGTTGTTTGACAGTAAACGGGAAGTTCTTGAGGAGATAGATTTGATCCAATGAATTAGAGATATGTGTGAGATTGTTTGTTAAATGTAAGTGATATAATATACTATTGTGTTATTAAAGGCTATTTATACTTATTCCAGAGATATATTTTTGAAATGTGTGTTATTCTTTACACACCCACACAATCTTTACATCTACACCTATTCATTGTCATAAAACGGTCACCTGCAAAAAAACAAAAAAAAAAATTACTCAATAAATAACACACATTTCAAAAATATATCTCTGGAATAAGTATAAATAGTCTTTAGTAACACAATAGTATATTACATCACTTACATTTAACAAACAATCTCACACATATCTCTAATTCATTGGATCAAATATATCTCCTCAAGAACTTCCCGTTTACTGTCAAACAACTGCAGTGATAGAATTGAGTTCTCCATTCAACAATATAAAGTAGTTTCAACCATGTTCTACAATCCATCTATTAATAGAGTACCGGCATCATTTGTTTAACTTTGTATCGAGACCTGAGGATGCTTTGCATATTGTAGAAAGCGAAACCGGTCGTCTGATAGTTAAATTAAATTGATTGTGAGTAAGTCTTATTTATTATTTCTTTACCTATTTAAAAATTTATAGTTTTAAAATGTGCACGTGCAAAGAGACGATTGAATTTGCCGACCGGCAGTGATTTATGGCCTGTCGGTCCTAAGGCAATTTACAGTAGTGACAGAATTGTTTCGTGGAATTTAAAATATCGAGGATATATTGTCGGCATCAAATAAAATTACTAATAACTGAACTCGTTTATCATGGGAAACATTTTTATATAGGTATATTTTAAAAGTTAAAAAGTTGTCATAACAACTGCAAAATTTTGAGATGTTCTAGTAACTCTAGAGGGAATATTAAAGTCAATTAGAGACAGTAGATCATTGCAATTAATTTTTGAATTCAGTAGTTTATAAAGAAACAAAACATCAGCATACATTCGTCTGGAAGATCGCCTAGGAAGGTTTAATGTATTTCTAATTTCTGAGTAGAAATGGTCGCTTAAAGGTTTGTGTAATTTAAAACTTAAGTACCTAATGAATTTATTTTGGACTTTTTCAAGCTTGGCTATATGGACTTCATAAGTGGGTGACCAAACGACTGAGCAATACTCCAGAACAGATCTAACTAGGGAAATGTAAATCAGTGTGATGGAATTAATGTTATGCAAACATATAGAGGTTCTAATAATGAAGCCTAACATTTTAAATGCCTGGTTATTCACGTAATCAAAATGAGCGCAAAAATTTAGTTTGGAATCTAATTGAACACCTAGATCTCTTACAGTTGAGACAGCCTTCAGTGGTTCTTCAGCTAATTTGTAATTATAAGAGAGGTTGTTAATTCTTATACAGAAACTAATAAAGTGACATTTTCCAACATTAATGCTCATTTGGTTCCAATTGCATCATGCCATAATTTTGTTAATATCAATTTGGAGTTTTTCACAATCTGAGACGTCTTCGAATATTCTATAGATTTTTAAATCATCAGCAAATAGCAAAAATTTAGAGTTAATTTGAGATTTAATGTCATTAACAAATATATTAAAAAGGAAAGGCCCTAAGTGGCTTCCTGGTGGAACACCAGATGTTACGGAGATCTTACTAGATTGAAAGTGTTTAATTTTAACAAGTTGTATTCTGCTAGTTAGGTAACTACATAACCAGTTATACAGATTGTCTGTAAATCCAATAGTTTTAAGCTTTTTACACAACAATTTATGATTCATAGTGTCAAATGCTTTGGAGAAATCTGTATAAATAGCATCCGCCTGTAGTCTCCTTTCCAAAGCATCAGATATGTATTGCGTGAAAAGTAAAAGATTTGTCGAAGTTGATCTACCTGAAAGAAAACCATGTTGCTCTTCAATTAGTACATTGCATAAAGGTGTTTTAATAGAGTCACATATTATACTCTCTAGTATTTTAGGAATAGAAGAAAGAATGCTTATTGGTCTGTAGTTAGCTATGTTACTCCTGTCACCTGATTTATGAATAGGAACAATAAAACTAGATTTCCACAAACTTGGACAAATACCTCAATCAAGTGAATGAGAAAACAGAAAATATAAGGGATGGGTTAAAGTACATCTACATTTTTTTAATAGTATGGGTGGAATTCCATCTGGCCCAGAGCCCTTATAAATGTTTAAATTGGCTAATTTTTCAAATATGATTTCAATAGATACATTATAAGAATTTAGACTCACATACTCTAAGATGGGCTGTATTAAATCATTATCATTTGCTCTGTAAATATTTTGAAAGCATTGCGCAAAGCTATTAACGATATCCGCACCATTATTAAGCATTGTGTTTCCAAAAAACATTGTGTTTGGTAGACCATTATTTTTGCGTTTGCTGTTAACAAAATTCCAAAAGTGCTTTACGTTTGAACTAATTCTAGATTCAGTTTGACTTATATAAATTTCATGACATGACCTGCTTAGTTCTTTGCATTTGGTTCTCAAGGAAGAGAAAAGTAGATAATCGTCCCAAGAATTTGTTTGTTTATATAACTTATGAGCAATTTTTTTCCTAAATATTAATGATTTTAGGTCATTAGTCATCCAACGAGGAAATTTGGGATTTTTTAATCTTGTACGTGGTATTGAACAATTGACACCAAACTGCAATATGGAGTAGAACAGTTCCGTGGCTTCGTTAATATCTCTACAAATACTTAAAACGTTCTCCCAGGAGATACTAGCAAGATACATATTAAGAGCAACATAGTCTCCTCTCCTAAAATTGAAGGCAAAACTATTATATTGAAGCTCGGGCATATTATCTTTTATAGCTAAAGAAATTGATAACGCAGGATGATACCGATCACAAGGCAATAAATAATCATTAGCAATTTCAACTGTTACATTTTCATTATCATTTGCAAAAACTAGGTCAAGTAAAACTCCGTTGCAATTTTTGATTTGATTGAGCTGAAATAGGTTATGAAATGCAAAAGTATCAACTAAAGTATCAGTAGCAGTGTTACTATTATTACTAAAGACAGCTATGATTCTCATAGCATATTAAGGCTGAATTAGGCGGAAGATAAACTGTACCAAATATATAGCATTGATTCAGAGTGCAAACTTCGATAAACAGTTCCTCCAAGTGAACATGTGGTAATAGAAAAGGCCTCGATGATTAACATTTTTTAACTGCAATAAGGACACCCCCTCCAATTACTTTAACACTAGTTAATGGAGAGCGGTCCTTTCGATATATATTAAAATCTAAAAGTCCCAATTCGTCACTACTGAAGTCAATAATACACTTTAATTTAACACAAGATCATTTTAAGATCTTTTCTTTCTTTGTCTTTTCTATTTATCAGTCTTTAGTTTACATCATCTTTACTTTAGAGTCCTATTAGATGCTATGGTGTAGTTGTTTAGTACTTATTTTCAATTTGACGAAGGTTTTTGATTTTGACCTTCCACTTAATTCTCTATTGATGTACACGTCTGGAAATTTCATTCTGAAAATTGCACACTTCTGGAAATATTTCTATTATTCACAACTATATCACTTGTATATCAATACATATTGATTCCATTTGTATTTATATTGTTTTCTGTTTTAGTTTAGGTGCCACGATGGGCCACTACTCAGGTTCTACAGGCGGAGATGCCGACAAAGATTATTACAACGATTTACCTGGAAAGGTTCCTCCAGATGTGTGTGAACCTCCACCAGTTCCCCCTTTACCCTCTCTGGTACCACCATTCACAACACTACCACCGGTTCAGAGTCCAAATCTCATAGATTTAAATGCCGATATAATTCCAGAGGGATCTCACCATGATTATGTTAATGATAGCGTAATTGTTGTTAGAGAAAGGGATGTTTTTGATATGCGTAAGTATTTTGTCTATTTTAATGAAAACAGGATACAAATTTTACTCATATCGTTTAAGATTTAAAAACTTATCTCAATATATTATCTCAACTCTGTAATTTCTTTGCATATATCTCTTGCGGTTCGAGAGTAGACGTATTTACGATAAGTATACCTAGTGGTAAAAACAAAGTTTATTTTGTGAAATGGAAGTAGTTAGAAATGAGATTGATGATCCTGTTGGAACAACTGTATCATTATCTGGTGAGTCGTTTCCAATAACAAACGATTATAAAAATGATAATGATCCGAATCTTATCAGAAAACATTACGATAAAAACATTCGATACCGGTTTGTGTGACACTGGCCCATTCATTGTGTATGTAGAGTCTATCGATAAAAATATCGGTAGATTACATCCGATAAGAGTTGGACATTATTTACATACGAATAATTTTAAAAACAACATTACTGAAATTAAATCTATTGGTAGGAATAAAATTAAGGTAATTTTAAATAATGCTTCTTCTGCTAATAAGATTGTAAGTGGCGACTTTTTAGAAGCCAACAATTTAATTGCTTATATCCCACGGATTTTTGTGGAACGTCGAGGTTTAATACGTTCAATTGATACAGGGTTTACCGAAACATATCTACTGGAAAAACTTAAAAGTGAGAATTCAAATAGTAATATTAAAGAAATAAAACGACTAAACCGTAGAGTCACTACAGAAACAAATGAAACGAAACTAGTACCTAGACAATTTGTATGTATAACATTTATCGGAGCTTCTTTACCAAAAGAAGTCATAATTAATAGTTGTATTTTTCCAGTGGAACCGTACATACATCCTGTTATACAGTGTCAGAAATGCTTAAGATATGGACATATAACACAACAATGTAATGGGAACGAGCGTTGTAAAAACTGTGGTGAAAATCATAATAATAAGGACTGCTATGTGGGAACTAAATGTTTATACTGTGGTCAGAAACATTCGGCATTATCAAGAGAATGCTCAGAATATATTAAACAACGTAAAATTAAGGAAATTATGGCAACAAAAAATATCTCGTTTCAGGAAGCTGAAAAAGTTCAAAGCAATCCAAATTATTATTCAAACATATTAACTAATAATAGATTTTCGTTACTAGCTAATGATTCTAGTAGTTTTCCTCCGCTACCTTCCAAAAATGTTAATGTACCTTCAGTGTGCAGTATCTCTAAACCGAGAGTTGTGAGAAGAAATTCCACGTCAAGTAACAGTTCGGAATCTTTTAAAAAAAGAAAACTGAATGAGAGCGATCATATTGATAATAGTTGAAAAAAGTACAGCCAGTTCGTCAATTTTACCAAATCCTTACAGGGATGAGTTCATGAGACATAAAGAAAAAATAGTTGAAGGTATTACTAATATAATATTCAGTTTTCTCTCTGATGTTTTAAATTGCAAAGATTATATAGACAATGATCAAAATTTAATTAAAAAACATATTTCAAATCTATTGGAAAATTTATCCACATCCAATGGATCATAACAGTTCAAATAATTTAAATATAATTCAATGGAATAGTCGTTCTACTGTATCTAATGCGCAATCTTTTAAGCAATTTCTGTATTCGAATGCTATTGATATTGCAATTTTATCTGAAACATGTTATAAGACAAAACACAACATTGTTTATAAGGGATACCAAATTATTAGAAAAGATCGTCAAGATCGTAGATTTGGAGGTGTAGCTATATTTTTAGGCCTACGGATAAATAAGTATAAGATATTGGATATTATAAATGTTGGAACATTGGAAATGTGTGGTGTAAAAATTGATTTTAATGGCAGAATAATTAACATAATCTCATTATATAAATCTGACAAGAATATAAGCACCCGAGAATGGGAACAGCTTTTTAATTGGTGTTCCTCACTCGAAGGAGAGACGGTACTAGGAGGTGACTTCAACGCCCATCATGCTGTATGGGGTTCTCCAAAAAATGATACTGATGGCAATAGAATAATTGATGCATTAACTGATATGGATTTAATATTTCTAAATGATGGTTCGGCGACTAGAAATACCCCTCCAAACTACAGCTGTAGACTTAACGCTAATAACTCCTGGACTAATTGGACTATCACATTGGCAAATATTGGATAGAACTCTTGGATCTGATCATTATATTATTTCCATCAAGTTGAATATTGATGTACCCTCTTCTGTTGTCCATCCAACAAGGAAATGGAAATTACAGAAGGCCAGCTGGGAATTGTTTCATAGCACTCTTGAAATGGAACTGAAGAATGTTGTATACTCTAAAAACTGTAATGAAATGGCATGAATAGAGCAATTAATACAAGCAGTGAAGCTTCTATCCCCCAAAACGTACCTTTCAGTCCTAAACATAGACAAAAATCAATTTGGTGGGATGATGAATGTAATACACAGCTACAGCTTAAGAAGAATGCTCTTAAAAAATACAAAACCGCATCTACACTGAATAATTTTCTTGAATATAAAAAGATAGAAGCTACAACTAAAAAAATGTTTAAACACAAAGCCAAAACAACATGGTAAATTTTGCTCCAGTCTTAACTCTAATTGCCCATCAACTCAAATATGGAAGATGGCTAACAAGTTAAACAACAAAAATGCAAACATCAAACATACTCCTTCCGCAGTTGCAGAAGATATTCTTCAGAAGTTATTTCCACCATTTGTTGACAAACATATACCTTACATGGCTTTAAATCCAGAAGAACATTATTTATTAAAAGAAATAACATCATCTGAACTGGAATATGCTATCAAGATATCCAAAAACACAGCTCCAGGTCCAGATCAGATTTCTTACATTATGTTACCAAAAATGGGTGTACTGGCTAAAAGACTACTACTATATATTTATAACTGTATTTTGCAAACTGGAATACCTCCTTACAAATTTAACGATTGCTTTGTTATATTAATTCTAAAACCGGGAAAAGACAAAGATAATCCGGAATCATATAGACCAATAACATTATTGTCATGCATTTTTAAAACATTTGAAAGAATTCTCAAATTGAGAATGAAAATTTGGTTAAGACGGCATAATATTCTACCAACAACACAATATGGATATAAACAAGGCTATGGAACCACGGATGCAGGAGTTCGTCTGACTACAGATGTTCAAATTGGTTTTTCTAATTCCATGACAACAGGTGCATTGTTTATTGATATAAAAAGTGCATATGACAATATTGATTTAAATATACTCTGTGATAAACTTGTGTTTCTTGGCATTCCAAAATCGATAGCACATTTACTATCAAACCTATACAAAGAGAGAAGTGTATCGATAAGAGTAGGTCACAATATTATTGGACCCAAGATCACATCAAAAGGTATTCCACAGGGAGCTGTTTTAAGTCCACTTCTTTTTAATTTGTACACATACGATTTGCACAATTTATGGTCTCCCAATTTTGTTTGATTACAATATGCTGATGATATTGTCATCTATTTACATAAGAAAACGTACAGTGAAAGCACTACTGAACTCAAACATATTATGTACAACTTGGATAATTGGACTTGGTTAAATGGATTCAATATTTCGTACCAAAAATGTGCCATAGTATTTTTTTCAAGAAAACACCCTATTAAACATCACGCTGTAACCTTACATGGCAATGATATTCCAATTGTTTCGGAATTTAGATATCTTGGTGTCATACTTGACAGGAAACTGCTTTGGACTCAACATATTAATTATACAATTGGTCGCTGCGAAAAAGGTATTAATTTTCTTAAAATGGTGTGTAAGAGATCGTGGGGTGTAGATCAAAACATTGCATTGAATTTTTATCGAGCCTATATAAGATCTATAATAGATTACTGTTGTGTGGTATATGGGTCAGCTAGCATAACTAATTTACGTAAACTTGATAGAATTCAATTTAAAGCTCTAAGGATTGTGTTAGGATTGATGAAAAGCACTCCAAATGAAGCCACCCTAGCTCTAGCATCTGAAAATCCACTCTCATTGCGTAGAGAATATCTGGCAAGCAAATATTTCCTAAACCAACATTATCGTGGCACTTATAATGCAAAAATAATTAATGAATTAAATACAGCTGATTTAACATCTACATACTTCGTTAAAAAGAACTCTCCACCACTTGCAAGAGCAATTATAACTTGCAACGAACTGAAGTTAATAAATTCCCCTTGTAATTTTATCTGGGAATCGTTGGATATACCACATCTAACAAGTGTTCTAGCTACAAATATTATTATCCCAAAATACCAAAACGAATTTTGCTACACTACTCTCAAAGAAATCTTAAGTGGCTATTCAGATCATATTGTGATCTATACAGACGGGTCAAAATCACCAACATGTACAACCAGTGCTTACTTTGTACCAAAAATGAAGATTAAAAAATCATTTATTTTAAATAATCAATCCAGCATTTTTTCTGCTGAAGCGTGTGCTATATACAAAGCCCTTGAATTGTGCTGTGAAAACCAGTGGAACAAAATTGTCATATGCAGTGATTCACTGTCAGTATTGCACTCCTTACAAAACTTTAAATTCACAATCAATAGCAATATATTCATATTAGAAATTTTTCAACAGTTACTAAAACTATCAGATCCATATGGTACTAAATTTCTATGGGTCAAGGGACATTCAGATATTGTTGGCAATACTATTGCTGATTCTATAGCTAAAAATCCATTACAGCACCCACATATGGTGATAGAAGAATTTAATACATGTGACCTACTTGCCCATATCAAACAACATATTAAATTTAAATGGGACAGACAATGGATTCAGTTTAGTGAAAGCAGGGGCACTAATTTATACAAATTACAACCCACAGTAGATGTAAAACAATTTTACAAAGATGTTACACTAAGCAGAAACACAGTGTCAACTGTCTTAAGATTAAAAGTAGATCATGGATGTTTTCCGAAACATCTACACAAAATAGGAGTTCTCCCAACAGACCAATGTGAGTGTGGAACCAGAATAGCTTATTTAAATCACATATTCTTCAACTGCCCACTACATCGTAATACAAGCACGTGGCTGATAAAAGAATTGATAAAAGATTGATTAAGTACACCATTAAACGTAAATCTATTAAGTGAAGACAATATAAAAATCTTTAAAATAATTATGATATTTCTTGTAAAAATTAAATTAAAGGTATGAGTGTAAAATTGATCGTATGCTTGAACATTTCCTTTGTATGTTTACCATATATGTTGCCCACCTACCTAACCGTGGTTTATGTCTTGTTTGTTACAATAAAGCCGCTCTGATGAATCCCTGAGCGTGAAAAGTGTCCTCCTTGTACAATCTTGTATGAATGAATACTAATAGTTATATGTAATTACGTAGCTAAAGGTTTCAAGCCAAAGCCAATAAAAAAAAAAAACTCTTGCGGTTAAAACCAGGTTATATTTTCCCAAGTTTTATCACTAACTAGTGGCGTAGCTACCGCCGTATCAGCCGTATAAACGCAGATTACGTTCATTGTGCGGCACGGTACAATTTCATTGAATTTAATCTTAATTCATTGAATTTAATTTAAATTTTAAATTTAGTTTTAAAAAGTATACACTTATTTGCTAATAATATAAAACGCTGGTCAATGTTCAGTACTGGTAAATTGGAAAAATATAAAATTACTCCCAAGAAAGTATGAAAAAAGACAATGAAAACTTTGTATAAATTAAATTAAATTTCAACTAAAAAAGGCGAATTGATGGGTGTAAAAATATAATTACTGTTTTGGAAAATTACGATTTTATGGTAGTTGTCGTCTTTTTTCATTATTGTTTGAAATAATCAACCCTGTTTCTAAAGCTCTGCAGCATGAATAGAATGATTTACAGAAAGCTGGTATCCTACTAAGTAATCTTTTAAATAAGCTTAAAGATACAAGAAATCAAAATTTATTTTGTGATTAGATAAACGAGTCTAAAAACCTAGAAAAAAAATAGAACTCTTTTTTAAAATAAAAGACACTAAAATTAACAAAGCGATTTTTTGATTAATTATCAGAAGACGAGAGGATTTCAGATCCTGAATCGTACTTCAGGATCAATATATATTATTGCTGTTTGGATATATTGATTTCTCAAACCAAACAAAGGTTTTAAAGTATCTATCTTGAGTAATACATTTGAAATATTACAACCCGAGAAACTTTTATCATTTCCAAATCAAATTATAAAAAAGCAATTCGAAAGACTGACTGCTAAATACGATAAAGATATTTCATTTGATATGAACAGATACTTGCTTTAAAAATCTGCTTGCTAACTGAAATTCAAAAAATTCAATCTGTTAACCCTTATACGGGCAAGGCGGGTCCAATGGGACCGAGACGCCAATTCTTTTATCATAAACTGATAAAAAAATTTTATTGAATTATTATATATATTATTGAAGTATGTTCCTGCAACATATTCATGACCTATTCAAAGTAATGTTAGCCCCTGGTCAAAGTGTAGATGATCCCGTTAATTCCTTTTGTTTGTTTGTGGATGAAAAAATTGTGAACGAAACAGTGAAGTGTACAAATAAAGAAGCCGAAAAACTCCTGGGGATAGAGAACTGGAAATATTGCGACCGTACAGAGCTGTATGCCTTTATTGGACTACTACTAACTGCAGGGCACCTGTGTGCCAATATCCATATTGTAGATGTCAGTTTTATGGACCTACTATATTTAAAGCTACCATGGGGTTAAAACGATTAAAAAATTTGATAAGATTTGTTAGATTTGACGATCAGGACACGAGGTCTGAACGAAGAAGGAACGACAAATTAGCAGCAATACGCGATGTGTGGAATCAAGTCAACCAAAACTTTCAGAAATACTATTTAGCAGTAAAAAACAATACGGTAGATGATCAACTTGTTCCGTATCGAGGTAGGAGTCCTTTCAAGCAGTATACGCCTTCAAAGCCAGATAAGTATGGCATGAAAATATGGTGGGCCTGTGGCTCGAAAAAATTATACCCTGTAGGTGGAATATCATATAAGATGTAAAGCAACTCGTTGAGCCTTATTATAATTCCAAGAGGAATGTGACTTGCGATAACTCTTTCACTGATCTTGCTCTTGCACATGAATTACTTGCAAATTCACTAAACTCTTGTGGGCACAGTGAAAAAAAACTAAGAGATTTGTTCCTCGGGAATTTCTACCAAACAAGAACCGTTTAGAGAAATCTCCAGTTTCCGGATTTACTCCAAAAGCATCTCTTGTTTCTTACGTTCCGAAAAACTTAGTGTCCTAGTCCTGTGTACCATGCATCACAATGCTTACTGTGCAGATGATATTCACAAAAACCAGATATAATACTCTATTATAATAGTACAAAATGTGGTGTCGATACGCTAGACCAAATGGTTCATACATATATGTGCAAAAGACGAACTAACTGTTGGCCATTTACATTTTTTATGAATATTTTAGACGTGGCTGGGGTCATTTATTACTTGGAAAAATTTACATCCAAAATGTAACGAAAACAACAATGAAAAGCGAAAATAGTTTCTTACCACGACAGCAGAACAACTAGTGATGCCTCAAGTTTTGAGATGAAAATCAAGGGGACTACAATGGGAAACAAAACAGTGTATTGAAAAATGCTTACGGAAAGTTTAACCACACAATAAAAAGCAAAAACTAGAAAAACCTGCAGTTTTAACAAGGAAAAGGTAATATGCAGTAGAAATGTGTGTAACGATCACTGTATAATTTAAAAAGTTTGTAAATATTGCAATAAGGAAAAGTAAATAACTAAGTAATCTATGGTTTTTTAACCTAATACTTAATCATAATTTAATTTGTCATATCAATTTGCTATTCTAGTTGGGAATAATCTAATTTTGTGGCTTAGTTCCAACTAAAATAGTAAATTAATATGACAAAATAATAATTTTTTAAAAGTAACTTCTTCTGACTTATGAGTTTTATTAATTTTGTAAAGATTGTTTTCTCGGTACTTTATACATGAGCTGCTAATTACCATAATCTTTTCTCAGAAAGGTTTTCACACAATAATGAAAGACACCAACACCGTAATCTTTTTCCAGGGTATGCGTAAGCATCAACCCTTCTTTTCAAATAAAATGGCCTGGTAGATTTGCAAAAGTTTTTATTTATTTATTAATTAAGTCTTTATTTGGCTCTAAATGTTTATTACTTGTGAATAAATATTTTTTCTACAAAAGTTTTCTTGCATTTCATTATTTTGTGCAAATCCTTCAGGTAGACGCACCCTCGAGGTATAGGGTAGTAGCACTTTTTTTTAATCTAGACAATTTAAATTTAACTTTAATAAAAAATCAAAAAGGAATATTAGAAATATATGGATAAATATGAATAATACATTCCAGAACAGTGGTGGGCCCAAGGGGGCGAGTTGCCCGGTTACGTAAGTAAACTGTGTTGCCCGGATAAGGGTAAAGAACTTACAGAATTATTAATGATAAAATATAATAACCTTGCATCCAGTTTTCCAGAGGTAATAACAGCATATTTTCTGTTTTTAACCCTTCCGGTAAGTACTGCCGCCGCTGAAAAAAGTTTTTCAAGTTTAAAATTAATTAAAAACTACTTCAGGACTTCTATGTGACAGGAAAGACTATGAGACTTGTCTATAGAAACCGAAAATCTAGAGAAATCTAAATCTTCTTCATCTATGGACGCTTTAATATATGTTTGCCGAGCAAAAGACGAGAAACGTTTATTTTTCAATTTTTTGGAGCATTTGTATTTGTAATTATATTTGTATACTTTTCAACTATATTCAAAAATATTTTGTTCAATATCAGCGTTTTTGCTGTGGGGCTAGCCACGTCATTGTCACTAACGTTGTATAACAACATACATAAGGTATTATGTATTAACTAAAATGTGTTTTTTAGAACCATTTACCCATACATCGAGTTCAATTTACGAAAAAAGCCAAGATCAATTTAGTCAACTAGAAAATGAAATATGGTTTCACGGACAAATTAACCGAGCAGAAGCAGAAAATTTACTTCAAAAAGATGGCGACTTTCTCGTCAGAGAATCAACGAATACCTTAGAAAGGCAGTTTGTTCTTTCAGGAATGCAAGATAATAATAAAAAACATCTGCTTTTGATAGATCCACAAGGAATAGTAAGTATACGGTTCGATTACTGTAGAAAACATACACGCCTTCAATAGTCTTGATTATCTAGGGTTGTGGTTTAACACATCTCTTTCTTATTCTCCGCAGTCGCTCTGTCGAGGTTCCGAGAACGTAGATGTTTTCTTTGTATTCCTAGTTAGCGATGGTATAGTAAATTATTATTAGATTACTTTTATTTTTTATTTAACTATGCCACATAGATTATCTTTAATATCATTAATTAACCTTACATTACATTATACATACATACATACATACATACATACAATATATATATATATATATATATATATTATATATATATATATATATTATATATATATAATTTGTCCTCCTAGGCCATATATTAGACCATTTAATTCAATAAAGCGATAGCGGCTTTCGCTAAAAGATTTAATCTTTTACACATTTCGCATAGTGCAGAGGATACAGAAAACGATATTATTATATCGTTTCGTTCACGGCCGTCAAAGCAGGTGGCGCTTTTGTAAGCTAACTACGTGGTAGTGAAGTTTTGGGAGACATTCATTGGACTTTCCGAGTTTGAATTTGTATCAGCCCAAGTGTCTAATGTAAAAATGTCAAGAGGTAGAAGATCTGCAAAGGAAGCATAAAGATAGAGAATTACACAGAAAGGTGAAAGAAGTCGCTGGGATATGGAAACCCAAACATTTATCTATTGTAACAAACACGAAAAACCAAATGGAATTAGACCCTGAAAAACAGAAGGAAATATGGGAACAATATCTTAAAGATTTGTTTGATGATCGGAGAGCAGAAGGGCCCCCACAAATAGATACCGATGGAAAACTAAGTATTCTAACCGAAGAAGTTATGCGGGCAATAAAAGACCCAAAAAACAACAACGCACCCGGCGAAGATCTAACAACAGCCGAACATTTTAAACACCTGAGTGATGATGCTGTCGGGAAATTAACCTACCTCTTTAACATTATATATGAACATGGCACTCTACCGCATGACTGGCTAACATCCACATATGTAGCTCTTCCTAAAAAACAAAAAGCAAGGAAATGTGAAGACCATCGAACTGTATCCCTAATGAGTCATGCTGCTAAGATTTTTATGCGAGTAATTTATAACCGCATTCACAATAAGTGTGAAGAATACCTGAGTCATTCTCAATATGGTTTTAGGAAAGGTACAGGCACCAGAGAAGCAATAATGGGATTGAAACTAATGGCAGAAAGGTATCTCGAGGTTCAAAAACAGCTGTATGTGTGCTTTGTCGATTATAGAAAGGCCTTCGACCGCATTAGACACGAAAAATTGATTGAGGTGCTAAAAGAAGTAGGGCTGGACGGACACGACATAGCTATAATAAGCAATACATACTGGAACCACACAGGATGTGTTCGAACAGACAACGGAAATACCAATTATGTAAACATAGAACGAGGAGTGCGTCAAGGGTGCATTCTGTCCCCTCTTCTATTTAATGTCTATGCCGAAAATATCATCAGAGCTTCTCTTGAAGATCGCCCTGAAGGTGCCAGAGTCAATGGAATCATCATTAACAATGTAAGATATGCCGATGACACCGTAGTATTAGCAGAAACAGAAGACCAACTAAAAATATTGATGAACATACTATCAGAAGAAAGTCACAGACTAGGTTTGGATATTAATCTTTCCAAAACCAAAATCATGGTATTCCACAAGAACCCCCATGAACAAATTACACCCAACATACAAATCAATGGTATCACCCTTCAGAACTCCCAAAGCTTCATATACCTGGGCAGAGAGCTAAACAGTCAGCTAGACCACTCAAAAGAAATTAGAAGACGTATTGAAATAGCAAGATCTGGCTTCATGAACATGCGTAAAATGCTCTGTAACCCCAAGCTATTAATCACAATAAGGTTAAGAACACTAAACTGTTATGTGTGGTCTCTACTACTATATGGCTGTGAGACCTGGACATTAAGGCTTATCCTCGATAATTGTAACGGTAAAATTCAGAGAGATGTCTATTTCAAAAATATCTTTCTTTACAAAAACAAAATCCATTCACGAAGAATATTCTAAACGTCATCTTGTACTAGAGGTAAGCTTTATACCTACCTTATACAACCCCCTATTGTGTAAAGTCTTGGGTCTATACAATAAACGACTGGGCGGCCTTCTATTCAGTGTGGTTTTGAAATAATGTTGAATAAAAACATTCATGAAATTAAAATGAAAGAATTTACGTCTATTAGTAGAAGTGCGATTTATAAAATTAGTACCTACTTGAAGCATAAATCGCGGGAGGAATATGTGCATCAGTTTTCAAATATTTATTATTTACTATATAATTTCTAAATTGAACCACTTTCACTTCTTTAGTTAACAATGTATCTGTTTTGACAACTAAATAGGTAATTAGACAAAATAATTATTAATTTCAAAACAGGAGTTTAAAGAATTAGAAAGAGGTAGCCCGGGCCCAGTTAAATAGTCAAGCTTATTCCAGTGGAAGCAATAAGGAGGATTATTTTTCGTTTTGGCACAGCTGACATGCTCTCTCTAGTACTACAACCCATGAAACTGTGGTAAAAAGCATGCTTTATTTATACGGTTGTGAAACACGACGATTAACAGAGACAGATTAATATCGAAGAAAGATATCTCGTCGAACTTAATGCAATAAAGTATGAGAATAGAAGGTACAGTCATGGATGGCATACAACGAAAGCAGCTCAAATGGGTACATAAAATAATAATTCTGATTGAAATACAAAAAAATGTACTGGCTGATTGACCAAAATTCTACGCTGTTTCTACATAATAAATTATTATATAAGCAAATACTGAAACAATAGTATTATTATAAAAACAGTATAAACATTTAGAAGGAAAATGTTACAAATTAACAGAAAATATTTCTATTCATATAAAAATTTAATCAAATTAAAGGTACTTATTATAGGTACTGCTTATTTATATAAAATTTCCTCAATCGGAATATAAACTTCACATAAACTTCTTCGTGAACTACCCATTTTAAAAACAATTAACACACTGGTTTGTCAAAAGTCGAAATAAACCCTAATAATGTTATTCAACATTATTTATGACCCACCTTCGAGAGGGTATTATACTTCTTACCTAACCAACCTAACCGTGTCGACGAGAATCCAGAAACTATCGACAAGGACAGCCTGTACTGGCCGAGAGAGAAAGTTACATTTAGCAAAATTTGAGATTTTAAAAAAAGTTTATACCAAATAGCTGCTTTGTGTTACACTTTATGTTAAAAATAAAAACAGATTCGGAAAGTGGGTCAAATTCTGTAGTGCCCTATTTCAAAAAAAAAAATTTTACGTTTATTTTAACCAAAAATATTTGAAAAAAAAATATTGTTTAAACAATTTATTAATTTACAACTAAATAGTGCACTAGAACTTTTTAAGACCTTTCATATAAAAAAAGAATCATCTCAATATCTGCCATAGTTTTTGCGTTATTTGATATAAACTTTTACATTGGAACTTAGGTATGCCCAGAAACGCAAGGAACGGCCTTAAAACACTATGACGTCAACAAACTGAATTCATTCGAAATGTGGATGTACCGCCGAATGCTAAGAATAAGCTGGACCAGCAAAACTACAAATGAAGAGGTACTGGAAATAATGAACACACGACCTCATCTGGTTAATACAATCAAAATTAGAAAGACGTCATATCTAGGACACATAATGCGCCATAAGGAATTTGAGTAGCCCCAGGTAATATTAGAAGGCAAAATCGAGGGTAAAAGGGGTATAGGAAGAAAGAAGAAATCCTGGCTCCGAAACATCAGAGATTGGACTCACACAACAGGAAATTACTTAATCCAGCAAGCCCAGAACACAGAGTAATTTGCCATATTGATCGCCAACCTCAATAGAGAAGGCAGTTAGGAGGAGGAAGTGTCTGATGAGGCTGGGATAGGCCGAAATGATCATAACACTTTATCGATACCGATTCGAGCACGGGAAGTTTAACGAATTCGTCTTCCTAGGCCATATATTAGGCCACTTAGTTCAATAAAGGGATAGCGGCTTTCGTTTTAAGATTTAATTTTTTACACACACACACACACACACATATATATATATATATATATATATATATATATATATATATATATATATATATATATATATATATATACCGTCAGTAATAGAAGCTTTGACCAACCAAGGCATTGACAAACTGTACATAGAGACTTGAGTAAGTATATACAGAGAAGCAAAAGCTAAGGTAAAAGTTTATGAAAACACTCCAGAATTTCCCACTATCAGAAGCGTCCGACAAGGAGACGCAATATCACCAAAGATCTTACTGCAACTCTAGAAAATATATTCAGCAAAATGAACTGGCAGAACAAGGGCCTATTTATTGATGGAGAATACCTTATCTATCTAAGATTTGCAGACGACATCGTTTTGATTGCTAATAATCCTGCAGAAGTACAGGAACTTGTAAGCCACTTAAATGTAGCTAGCAATGAAGTTGGGCTAAAAATAAACTTGACAAAAACATAAACCATGTACAGAGAGCTAATGGTTTGGGCATATTTTGGTAGAAATGCAGTTATGTTCAAATCGAAGATGCCACTCCACCTGAAAAAAAAGCATTCGATCACGGTATAATACCAATCATGACATACGTCTGCGAAACTCCAAAGTCAGTCAAAGGTCAATGGAGTATGTATGCTAGGTATAACAAAGAAAGATTGAAAAAGAATAGAATGGATCGAACAGAAAACCAAGGTCACTAATGTAATCTAACTGATTAAATCTATAAAATGGCAGTGGGCGGGAAATTTGGCGAGAAGAACTGACAATAGATGGTCCACTAGAATTACACTGTGGTATCCAAGAGGCGTCAAGAAACCAAGAAGACGTCCAAACTTAAGATGGTACTTAGACCTAAGGAAACAAGCCGGTTTAACATGGCATAAAAAAGCGAATGGTGGAGAGAATATGAGAAGA